AAATGTAGTAAAACTGCGAATTTAGTTTTTTCTTCAGACGTCAGGATTTTTTAGAGGACTTTGATATGCTTAATTGGAGAAATCATTTTTAAAATTCCGTGCAATGTAGCATAACAATATGAGTATCAAATGTAAAAGGATTACATTTTTCGGTGCTTAAGGACGAATAGTTATTGAAAATGTCCTTTGAAATTATATCCTTAAAAATGGGATTTTTTTACAGATCTTCAATTGAAAAGTATGTCAAAAAGCTGCAACTATCTATCTATGCGCTATTTGCCATTAATTCACAAAGGCCCTAAACAAACATCCATTCGTCCCCATCGCTTATTCTATTTACTATACCCTCAAGGACAAACACGATACCAATGGCGAATTTGGCGATTCACTGGCGCGAATGGGATAGTCGAGATCGCGCAGCGCATTATAATCGCTCTCATCTTGAGAAAAAAAATTTGTTGATTGCTCCACTTGCACAACTTGACCGTATTTGTCTTCCAATTCTGCATATTTAGCTGGATTTGAAAAAGAATTTCATTACGAAACTGCAGAAGAATGGAATTAAGTTTTGCAAAGAACAAAAAGGGTATTTTCGTTGGCGCCCTAATCCGTGAACTAACTCAACATGATTTTGACTCCATTAAGAACCGGAACGCAAGTGAAAAAAAAAAAACTAATATTTCTCTGAAAAATGTAATTTCAGTGTTTCTCGGGAGTATTCGTGCGCCTAACCAAAAGGAACTTATCGAGGATATGCTTACAAATTTCAAAGAGATGGGTGTCAATATGTCTCTTAAAATGTATCTTTTGTACTTCTAATGCGATCAAAAAAAGAAAATGTTTGAGTATTTCATTCCAGAACGCAGAAAGTGTTAAGAGGCAAAAAACTGGCTAAATGAATCTGGGATATTGATTTTTTAATGTTGAATTCGTTTATGAAATTACTTTGTTTTTGAAATAAATTGACGCCATGAGAGCACAAGTGGCCTAACCCATATTTTTTTATGTGGTTCCCTACTTAAAATTGTCTCTAATGAAATAAATTTTAAAATGGAAGCCGCTTATTCTTTAATTTTAAGGTACAGATCTGCATAAAGTATGATCAAAATAAGGAATAATCGACCTTTACTTTAAGATGTATTACATTTGAAACTATTTTAAGAATTTAAGTACAAGAAAAAAATGTGGGTTAGGCCACTTCTGCTCTCTTGGCCTCAATTCATAGATTCAGATTTTCGTATTTGTAGAAAACAAGGAACTGAGTTTTTTTATTTTTTCACTCATTTCTAATCAACTCATCAACATGAATCCATGATAAAAACATAGCAAGGTAGAACCGTTCTCTCAATTTGTCGGTCATGATTTTTTTTTTAAGTTTGCCAACATTTTAAAATCATATAAAAGTGAAAATAAAAAAATGAAATTGTTCGAAATTGTTGTTGCTTGAGATTGAAAATGAAAATGTGTGTGTGAGTTTGTGAGTAAATTTAAAAATTAAATTGTTTGGAAACGTCAAGAATTTTAAAAGTGACTCTCAGCAGTTCTACCTTACTATATTTTTATCATGCATGAATCCATCAGACGAGTTGGATTTTCATTAACACGCCTTTTTTCTACGGAAAAACTAAATTTTTGTTTTTCAAAAACTAGACGCGCTAGAAAAATTTTGTAAATGCAACTCAAATCAGCATCATAACATCTATAAGATTAGGTCAGCCCGGTTTTTTGAGATAAAATACGACCAAATTTTGTTGAACCCGTTAATTATAACTTTATTAGTTAAAACAAAAAAGAAAAATATATAAATAGTTAAAGGAAATTTTCAATACCCATTCGTCCTTGAGAACCAAAAATTTCTAATTTTTTTAATCTACAGAGTTTTCTTTTTCTTTTGCTACCCATATTGTTACTCTACATTGCACTGGATTTTTTAAACATTTTAACGCACTTTTACTATATTTCGTTTCTAGTTTCGTTTGTTTGGTTTTTAATAATTATGTAATTATGTACAATATAAATTGTGTAGACACTCAAATAGCAAATTATATTGATGTCAAAATTAATTGCTTTCAGATTTTTCTTAGCTTTATAACACAAAATTAAGGAGAAATATGTAACTGAACCCTTTTTAAGCAAACCAAACCCTCAGCCATTCATTTTTTTTGTTTTTTTTTTCAATAAATGCAATGCACTTTTACCTTTTGCACCACATTCACAAAAATAATAAATATACAAAATTCGAAAAAAAAAGAACTGACGACGCAATACATACGCGAAGCAACACTTTTGCTAAGCTGATTTACTCTAAGATGTATACACAAGAAGAAAAAAAAACGTACCAAATCCTATATAGATACATATACACATTTTTGCTAAAGTAATACTTAGTAAGCACATACCTTCATAAAAAGTACTTCTTACAAATTTTATCTAATATTTTTGTAGTTTTATTATCCCTCGTGCTGCATTTCTCTATATACTATACATCGTTTATAGTTATGAACATAGATTAAATATATGTATGTATGGAGAATAAATAGGAAACTAATATACATACATATGCACATATGCACATATGCACATATGTATGTAGATATGGGAGAAAATGGCTTTATCGAAATAATTATAAGAGTCACGAATACATGTAAATGGATTTTTGGAATGTGAGCATGCGATTGTTTGCAATGTCATAATTTTTTTTTTGTAAATGAAACCCGCCTACCCACAACTTCCGTCAAATCCGACCACAAATATGTAGACTGAAAGTCCGATTACCTACCACAGCAGTTCACTGTTCAGTGCTTCCCGGTAATGGGAAAGTAGGTACAAAATTGCACTTTCTACTTTGAAGGTACACTCGGTACATACACACCATTTACGGTACATTTATAACGTATCGAAACAAGTTTGCGAGGGATTTTTTGGTCGCTGTCAAATGTAAGTGTACACCTTGTTGTAATATAAAATTCACAATTATTTTCATGAACAATTTTTTCATTAAAAACTCAAACAATTTTCATCGAAATTTCAAAATTTTTGTTCAGAATTTCTACACAATTTTCGAGTATGCTATTTGTAGCCCGTTCAAGTCGCTAGAAATTATCGTTGATTTTTTATATTTTTTTTTTTGTGAAGAGTGTTGGGCATTTTCTTTAATTTAAAATAGATTTTGATCACGCGTTATGTGGAAGAAAATGCGCGACACCCTCAAAAAAAAAATATATATATAAAAAATCAAAGGTAATTTGCAGCGCCTTGAAGCTTGCACTCTATTTTACTAAAATTGAACGGACTATAAAACTGCAAACTCGAAAATTTTCTAGAAATTCTGTATAAAAATTTTGAAATTTTGATGAAAATTGTTTGAATTTTTTTGAACTTTATATAAAGTGTGAAACTTTGCTTTTGTGGTTTATGTTATAGAATGAACTATATTTTCATAAATAATTAATCAAAACAATTTTGCATTAAAATAAGTGTGAATTTTATATTACGACAAGGTGTACACATACATTTGACACCGACTGTACCTCGAAAAGGACTTTCCCAATACTGACCGATCTCCTAGTATTACTCAACAACATTTTAATAACAATAATAAAATTAATATAATCACTCCTTCTCACACGGACCTTTTCGAAGATTCGACAATTACTAATACAAGCTCATAGTGCCGAGTATTCTAATCCGAATGATTTGCTTTTCGAAGCGCAATACAGAGTAGACCCCTTGGTTTATGGTGGTTAGGAGGTCGGTCTCGCAGTAATTCGTGCAGATGGCAGGGTCGCCTTTCTTGTGCATTGGGCAGAGCCTACTTAACCTTTAGCCGTCGGCCATACGTATGTACATCTGCCCACATTCTGCATAAGCATGGGGACATTACGACAACTTGTCTATATGAGGATGCCTTTCTTTCAAATCAGCTAGCCTAACCTAACCTAAGTGCTTCGGTCATAAAAAATGCAAATATTTATACGCAATAAAGCAAATTTCCTAATAAATCAATTAAAAAATCATCCAAAATACAGCACCAAGTTTTCAAGGGCAAGGCTTACAAAAAACTACTTAACGAAATCGAAAGCAATGCTTATGTACAAGGTCTATAGAAGAAGAAGAAGAAGAAGAGGTAAAACTAAGAAAATAATAACAAACCCAAAAAAAGATATTTCAATTAAAAATTACATGTATAAATGTATGTGTATTTAGTCTTACACTTAAACTTGAGTACTATTTATAATAATTATTAAATGAACTAAAATACATACAGACATATATACCTAAAGCTTTAATTTAACCGAATTATATATAAATACATACACACCTAGTATATATTCTTATACACAAAATATTAGCTATATGTAGTTTTTTTTTAAACAATTATTAAAACTTAAGCAATGAAATTTGTTGAATTCCTTTGTAAAAATAGTTTATTTCAAAATATAACCAAAAGTTTGAACTGTTAAAATTGGCCCATTATACTCTAAATATTTTCGTATAATATTCATATAACATTTTTAATTAATAAATCTTTAACTAAAAGCTAGATAATGAGTTTAATTTACAGTAATTATATTTAGTTGTTTGAACTTATAATTATTTTCTAATTATTTGTAACACTCGCTGCAAAATGAGTAGTATACTTGTCAAAATTGACAACGGAAAAATGCATTTATAAATTTGAAAAGCGAGTTCGCTTCAAAATTTGTGAATCAATTCGTATTTTCATAATTTTTAATTTCTATGCAAACTTTCGAACTGAAAATTTCGTGTTTGAGTTATGTTATAGTTATAAAAAATACTGTTACCGCTTGTTGCTGTATTTCTGTTTATGTAAATATTATTCAGCAGTATTTGAAAACTATTGTTAATTGAATTTCAAAACTTGTCATAATTCTTAAGAAAATATCGAAGAGAGAACGGTTAAATTTGCGTATTTGTTTATTTTAGTTTTTGTGTTTTTTTTGTTAGTTCATTGTGTGTCTAGTGATTCACGCTTTTCGCATGCATCGACAAATTCCAATCAACTAGAAAATAAATTATTTTATTTACATAACACTTTTCTGTGAATATTACCGTTTCGGTATGCCAAAATTGAAGTGCACATCGGGTAGCGATCAATCCAACGATGAACCCATCGCCAAGGTACCACGACGTCAGCTCAAAGTACGCCATCGCGTGGACAACTCAAATCCACCGCTCAATCTTTGCGATCTGCCAATCGAGTTGCTCGAGAAGATCATCGGCTATATAAATATTTGGCATCACAATCGTATACGCGGCACTTCGAAGCGACTGCGTGACGCCAACGATGCCTTCGTAATGCACGAATTCAAGAAGGCATTGCATAAATCCAAGCTCACCAATGCGAGTAGTTACGAGTGCGCAGCCTTACAAACGATCGAACAAGCGACAGAGGTCTATGTGAAGTCGGGTTATGAGTCCACTTTCTGTGGTTGCATCTTGCCTATGCTACGCAGCTCATACAAGGATCCCTTCTGCCCGCAAGTGTTGCAGATCAACACTTTTCTATTGCATTTTTATGACATGGTCGATGAATTGATTGGAGATCGACGTTCGCAGCATGCGAGGTTGCTGCACAATTTGACGTTAATGCGGTTTTTTAAGGTAAATGGAAGTACTGTTAGGGCGGCCCATGACTGATTTATGTGGTTACTAACGTGATAGTAGTTTAAACTCCTTCAACATTCAGTAAGAGGTTGTGTCAAATTAACGCGGGTTCCATGCGAGCAACTCGAGCTGTTCATCTGTGTTAGATGGTGGTAGGTCTCCGATGACGGCATTCACGGGGCGAGAGATTACGAAGGTTTTAATTGGCCTTTGTATAGTCCGTCTGGTTCGGCGGGTAACTAAACTTAGTCTTTGAGGTCCATGAAATGGCTTTTGAAGTTCCAAGCGACATCAGTAAGCATCTTATGGCAGTCCCACGTGCGGCGTTGTGATAAGTCTGGAGCTACGTGCACTACGTCCTACTAGTCATCGGTGACCATACACGCGTTTTGATGTAAGTTCAGTTAGACCTTCTTAGATCAGGTAGTAAAACGAGTTGCTGTTGACTTCGCTGGGAAAGGGTAAAGTTGGATACCATGCAGTGCTGAAGATGGAAAGGTCTGAGAGAAACTATTCTCTTTGAAACAGTAGTCATGAATGTCGTTGCCCTGCACGAAAATCAAACACTTATCGGCGAAAGGCCTCTGAAGAGGATCTCGATATATAGAATTAAACACTAGTGGTGAAAAGGCCTCGCCATTAGGGTTTTCCTGTTTTATGCTTCTTAATTTGGACGAAATGACACAACTTTAATCCAGGTGAAAGGCAACTTTTTTCAATATCTTCAAGAAGCACTCCGTGAAATACCGTATGAAATGCTTTCATTAGCTCTAATGCTACTAAGGCTACCCTCCTTACAGCATTTTGTCGTTGTTGTTATTGTTTTAGCGGCTACTTCGCCCTGTCTAGATCGGCTCGTGCCACTCCAACTGGGTTAGTCCATAGGGAGAGAGGCGTCAATTGAGTGGGGTTTAGGGGGCATGTGAAGAGGTACCGCGAGTCGGGAGTTGACCCTTCGCTTGCCAGGCGCTTATTGGGCACATCTGCATTTATCCTACTCAGGTAAGAGTTTAGCCTGCTGCATTATCCAGTACGAAGCTGGGCTATGGAAAAAGTTCTGTCTGGTCCACGTCAGGTGGCTGTGTTCCCAAAAAGCCATTCACAGGTCGGGGTAAATCGAGACTAACTCCCTGTGAATGCAGTTCATGGCTTGTCGACTGCGTTCATCAACCTCTGGACTTCGTCCGCTTGTTCGTATAGATGCCGTCTAACGTCCATTGGCGAGGGCTCTTCGGAATTTAGGAATTGCTTGCAAGGCATTGTATTGTGCGCCTTGACAGGTGGTGCTGTGGCGACAGAGGAAGGAATCCGATGGCCTTCCGGAGTGCCGTGTTTTGCCAAGTCTGTACCTTCGTCCACTGCGTTCTACTAATCCCCGCCCACCACACGGGCGCCGCATAGTTTAGTACCGGCCAACCCATTTGCTGTAAGTTGCCAACAACGTTTCATTGTCTTTGCCCCAGGTGCTGCCAGCTAGCGCCTTGAGTAGCTTGTTGCGGCTCTGTACTCTGTTGACAATTTAGATTGTGCGCTGAGAAAAATAGCGAACTTCCGAAGGTAACTCTCAGTATTTATGGATTGCTCACAGTCATAATTGGTTCGCCATCGATGTGAATTCCTAGATTTAGTCTGACCTGCACGTCCAGGTGATGAAAAGGGTTGCCGAGGATTTCATAGGGGATTCCTTATAGTGAAGAAGCGAGAAAGTTCTGAGGGGGTAACCTTTTACTTTCGAGCACAGTCATCTATTAAAAAAAAGACCCTTCCAAAAGTAGTTTTACTTATGGTCTTTTGCAGTAATGCACATCTTCCAAATCTTAATTCTTCAAAATTTCCAGAAATTCGACAAGTCCACCATAATCTCTTCCGCCGCAATGCCATTGCACAGCCGCATCGTCGTGGAGTTGAGAGGCCCCTGGCTGGGCATGCTATGGACATCGAAAAGTCGATCCCGTGATCAACCAGAAAAGCGCTGCAACTTGCTCCTCATACTCTCCGAAATGTTAATGGCCAATATTACAGGAAAAGCTTTCAAGTAAATAACTCAATTTCTATTACTTGCCGAAAACTAAAAGATAACTGAATTTTTTTCCCCCCCAATTAGACGCGTTTGGGAGTGCCTCAGCGAGATCTATGTATACGGCAACGATATAAGCAATACCAAGCGTGTGCCGAAAACACTCTTCACATTCACCATGCATGGTTCGAAGAAAATTTGTTCACTATTTCGTTCTTGTCTTGAGGTTGACGCTAATGACTTTGTATGGCCAACGAAATGGCCACGCGACCAATTCAGCGTCAATTTGGATATCACTTGCAAGGAAGCAATGAAATGGGGCTGCTCCAAGTCGCAGCACATGGAGTTTGGGCCGTTCGCAGAGCAGCTATTCAGCGAAGAAGAAGAATATATGGATGGCTGCAGTTCGAGTCGAACGTTATTGGATGTGGAGTGAATGAAGTTTTCTCTGGTTTGTTTTCTTCTTTCCTGTACTTCTGCTAAGGGATGTGGCACCAAAACCCTTAAATAAATTACTAACAAAGATAAAATAAGTATAAATTTAAAGTTTTCGAATTTTATTCTACAAATTGTTTAACAATCTGGCTGTGGGTATGCATACATAGTATATAATGTAAGTATGTGGCTTCAATTAAAGGGTATTTTGCAAGCTAAACCTACAAATAAGTAACACAATAACTATTAGAAAACAGTTAAACTTTACAAAATATAATTTGGCAAAAATATCGTCTACAATCTGGCATGATGCAGGCGCATTTAAAAAACAAAACCGCCTACTGATACACAAAACAAACGAAATAAAAACAATTTGGGAATTTTTAATTCTTAATTGCACTTAAAATATAATAATTTTCACATTTTTGCTTTAAAAACTACCTGTAACGTTTGGAAATTTTAAAACAATACACGATTATCTACAGGATTGCTTATGTATGCCTGCGAAATTGATTTATAAAACTTTTTCCCGCGCGACATTTTTATGAATATTTTTTTTTTTTTTTGTTTTGTTTTCACCTGAACTTTTTCACTTATAAAAATATGCAACTGACTACTCTACGTAATAATTCCTGATTTATTTCATAAGGAAGTCTTTGCGTTTTTTGGACAGCATCGGCGATCTGCAACTTTTTTTTAATGATCCAAAATACGCATATTACCGGAGACGATCTTATTGTCCAGAATGGCACCAGCTGGTATATCAATACGATCACCATGATTAGCAATAATAATAACAGTACCCTGCAAAGGAAAACGAATTTTAAGTTACGAAAAAATAAATCAATTGAAATAATATTTAAAAAAAAAAAAAAACACACCCTAAGCGACACACCGCGACCAAATGTCACATCGCCGGACACCGTCAAATGATCAAGCTCAATAATATCGGGTATGTTGGCGAAGCGGCCAAGGAACTCTTTCACCTTTGAGAAGTGATTTTCGCCCAACTTAACAAGCGGTGTGGTGGGGAACATGCGTTGTGGTGACATGGCGAGACTGCCGTTTTTCAGGTGATACAGATTTGACATGACTAACAACAAATCCGAAGTCTTTTTCACTGGCAAGAAACGTGAACGTGGCACATTGATGCCGATGGCGCCATCAAAACACTTCATGGCAGCACCAACGGCTGTTTCCAGTTGCACTACGCGTACACCATTCTCCATTGTTTTGTTGTTGACAATGATCTCCATTTTGAGCGTGCGCTCGCGGAGTACACGATCGATAGCTGTGAAAAATTAGATGGCAGGTGTAAAAATATTTCAGTATTTTAGGCATGATGCTATTGAGTTTTAGCAAATATGTATGTACATATGCATATATGTATGTGCATAGTAGGGCTGTTCAGGATATTGTGCAAATGGTCTTGGATTTGCATTTGTATTTGCATTTACGAATTTTATGCTTGCTACCATGGCAACCGTTTGCATTTTACGGTTGTACATTTACAAATGCGCCGAAATATGCAAATGCGAGATCATATGCACCTTGATCCTGAACAGCCCTAGTAAGTGGCATATTTCTGGTTTCAATTGTTTTTATTTTGTTGTATGAAAAGAATGTATAAAACGGTGAGTACATATTTGCACTAAACTGAACGCTCACTAGAACTCTATGCAAGACACTCTTCTCCTGCTTACCATCCAATTTCGCCCAGATGTTATTGGTGTTGAAGAATTTAAATGTTTTTACTGATTTGAAGTCGTCGACATGTTCTTTTGGCACTTGTGCGATTTCCAGCAAACGTAGTTTGTTTTCCAAGTTAATGAGAGTACCACCCTGAAGAAGTAGAAGAAACCAATTTTTATGAGTTTTAAAAGTTAAAATAACATAGTTATTTCTAGCAAACCTACCTTGACATCAGCACGTGTTTTGTCAGTGACTTCCATCACAAATTCGACAGGTTGTGCGGAACGTTCCTCACCCAGCAATTTATTGAGTATGGCCAAGTCCACGGTAGCGCCCAGGTTATCAATATTGGAAAGGAAACAATATTCACGGCCTTCGTCGATAAACTTCTTTAGCAGACCAGAATTGCGGAAGGTATCGTAGAAGTCACCGTGACCGGGTGGATACCAGCTGTAAGGAAATATTTCAAATGTATTCTCTAAACATTTATATACTTAAATAAATACGGGGTTTTCAAACAACATACGCATCAATATCTTTCTCCACCTCGAGATCTTTGGCAACTGGCAAGAAGGATTCACGGCTGATGCGCGGAAAACAGCTCTGATTAAATGTGTGAATTTGAACACGAAAGCCGGTATATTTGCGAATGATTTTTTGTGTATCTTCATCGGTGTTGAATGAATTCATAAGCACCAGCGGTACATTGGCATCGTATGTTTTATTCAAATGCTACGATGGATGATGGTAAAATTTGGTTATGTGAAAATTTTATATTCAATACTTACCTCAATTTGTTGCACAGTTAAATCGAGGAACGTTAGATCGGAGCGCACGGGTATGACACTCTTAGGACCATGGCAACCCATAGATGTACCCAGACCACCATTCAGCTTTACGACAACCAATTTGTCTAACATTGTGCGAATCTGCTTTGAAGATAAAGAAAACATTTAAGTATCGTGAATCAGTTAATTATTGTAGGAGTGATTGAAGAGACGAATAACAAAAGAACAACAGAATGAAAGTAAGCCAATAATAATTCAAATGCATAGAAGCGAAAAAAGAAGAAAATCGAGAAAGGAGGATTTTAAGGCCCGTACTTATATGAAGGTATGTAAATTAGAAGCTAGTATTAATGCCTAAAGTGACATTTTCATATACATACATACGTATGTCCTGAAGTTAGAGAAAAATTAAAATCACGATTTTAGATAATTGTAAATAAAAATTGCGCTTAGATTTTGAGATCAAAACCGCATTAATATACCCTCATTACTTTGATCAAGGAATATCGAAAAAAAAAATTCTAAAATATTTGTTTGAAGGGCAGATAAATTTTAAAGGCTACTTGAGAAAACGGCCCAAAGTTTGGAAGATAATTGTTAGGACAGAAAATGATTACAATTTTTCGATTTTTTGAAATTTTGTTGATCCAGAAAACGGGGTTTATCGATACTAATCAAGGTTTTGTCAGAACCATTCCAATTTTTTATGACTTTTTTGCGGGCCTTCCAGAACTTTTTTGGGACCTTACCAGGACACTTGAAGTTATTTCGCGACCTGCCAATGTTTTCGATAATTTCAAATTTTGCTCGGACTATTCAGAGTTTTCTCGGGACTTTTCAGGCTTCGGGATTTTTCGAGTTTAACTTTCCATGCATTTTTTCTGAACTTCGGAAATTCTTGTACTTTACCTTTTGGAATTTTTCCTGAACCTTCTAGACATTTTGAACCTTTCCGAATTTTTCGAGAACTTCAAGATTTTGTAGGGACCATTCAAAATTTGACTGGGGCCATTCGGGATTCTGCGTCTTTGACTTTGGCAGTTTTTTGAACTTCGGAGATTCTTAGTACCTACATAATTAACTTATGGAGATCTTTCAGAAATTTTCAAGTATTCTTCCTGGATATTTCGGACCTTTTAAAATTATTTTTGGACATTTTTTCGATAGCTTCAAGATTTTCTCGGGACTATTCCGAAATCATTTGCGGTTTTTTTAGGCGCTCTTTGGGCTTCCTCCTGTTTAACTTTCAGAAGCTTTAAGTGTTTTTTCAGAATTTCAGTGATTCTAAGTAAATTTTTCGGGAGTTTGTCCGGACACTTCGGGTAGTTCGGAATTACATGGGACTTATTCGACACTTTTAGATACATTTCGAGATTTTTTCGGGAACTTCAAGATTTTCCCGGGATCATTCAGAATTCGTTCGGGACTTTCTTGGAGCCCTTGAGTATCTTCCTGCGTAATTTTTCGAGTTTTCGAATTTTTTTTTTTCAAATTTCGGAAACTTTTAGTATTCTCAGAACTTCTTAGTATTTTATGTTTGGAATGCTTTCGTTGGCCTTTTGGGATTTTGGGCACATTTAAGAATTTACCGAACCTTGCGGCAGAAATAGCGTCATAGCGGGAATTTTTAGTTCCAAAAGAAACTAATAACTTTCCTTTTTATGAACGCCTAAAAATTTTAATCAAAAATGATATGTTATTTTCTTTTCAAAAACTGTTAAGCAAACCTATTTTTGGCCATAAACCCCCAAATTGAAAAATTAACTAAAATTTTTGCTATACATGGGCATACTATACATGGGTAAGGTCTGCTTAGAGGAGGTTTTTAAATTGGTAAAATGTGCTTTTAAATTGCATACTTATTGGTGGTAAACTTTTAGAAATACCTCAAAAAATCGTATACTTTTTTAAAAATACTCCTTAAAATCATTTTCATTTCACTCAATGGTTTTTCTTCTTATTTTAGCTAAATATGAAGTAGTAAGATTAAAAATCTGGCGTTTTGAGTTGCATTTTTTTGGGGTCCAATTTTACCTCTTTTTTATGTTTTTTTTTGTTTACTTTCGAATGCCAATTGTTTATACAAAGTGCTAAGAAAATTAAAAGCTACTAAAATGTGGCAATGCTGTTTCGAAATATAGTACAAATAACCAGCGTTTCTATGTTGAATAGCCTAACAATTTAATTTCCTATGAAGCGTATTTTGTAAAAATTTTGCATTTTTCTCTTTGCTTGCTGGAATCTCAAGCTCACTACAAACCAATGCATTTCTTTTCCAAATTTAATATCGGCCAACATTAGCGAAACGCTAGATATCTCGTAGAAGTTTAGATAAAAAGTATAAAACACTTACAACCATAAACCAGCGCTGGTGGAAAGTATTCGAAAGAAGCAATTAGTACGCAAAATAGTAAAAGTGAAAAGTTAATATTTAAAAATATGTACAGTTAATAGAAAATTCGATAGTGAAAAGTATGTATTTAAAATACGGGGAGAGTAGAAAGTGGTTATAGTTGGTATGTAGATTACATTACAAAAGCCAGTCGAAATTCAAGTAAAAGCATTTGCTATACTAGCAGATTTATAGAAATAATTTAAGTATTTCGGTTTGGCATTTTCAATATCGCAAACATTAATTACAATTTGTTACCTCGTTCTATTACACACCAGAATCAAAATGGTTCACCAATTCACATACAAAAAATGAGAGTTTGAATAGAAACAGGCATATATATTTAATAAATGGAAATAATACAAGAATATGAAATTAAAAATATGTATACGCAAAAATAAAATCAAGTCGGCATGTTACCTGCTCATTTTTAGGCGAACTCAGATTGGAGTAATCCATGACGGCGTTCGCAGGCAACTTCTGAATTTTGTCCCAATCAATAGAAGGACCCTCTGTTTTAGTGGAAAAAACGGGATCATAGTTATTTAAATGTAAGTATGTGTTATAGCAATCGCAACTCCATACACACACTTACCTTCTTGCAGAAAGCGTCCAAACAAATCGGCGAAACGCACCATTTCCTTTTGCAACTCGGGGCGCTTTTCCGCTGGCGCAGTGCGCAACAACCGATCCAAATCATTTTCGAGCGATTTGAGTGCATCGCGCTTGGTCACCTCATGGAATTCTTTTGAGTCAGATGGCGCTCTTTGGTGGCCACGTACCTTAAAGAAACCAATGAAAAAAATATTCCATTAAATATACAAATAAATGATTGATTCTGCATTTGTTATCAAATATGTATTTATATGCACGTGCCGTTCAAGGAAATAATGCTATGCATATTAAAATTAAACAAAGCTGATCAATTAATGAAATGAGCATGCGTTATCATGGCAACACAAAGTTTTCAGATATTTGCACTTGCTAAAATTATTGGTGGGTGCGCAAAGACTTTTTGATTTCTATATGAGCTCTGATCATTCTTATCGCAAACTTGGTGATGCATACAACGAAGTGACCTCAGCAAAAATTTCTTAGCTTCGGAATATATCGTCGATGATACTGCAAAACGTTCTATGTCACTAATTACCTCTGTTGCTTAATAGATCTGTTATCTGTATCTGATCGCTTCTGGCAATCGTTCATCTTCATCAGCCAAAGGTAGACAGTTTTGTCATTCTAGACTATTAAAGTGTCAAGGGTAATAATAGACGTATATCGTTTTGCAGTATCACCGACGATATTTATGACCTGGTGGTGCACTGCCACCAGCCTAGGTGTGCTTGTATTACCCTGTGTTCGGAAATGCATCAAGTGAAAGCATCAGCAGATTTTATATCTAAACTATAATTGATGGAAATGTCTAGTATGCGCAACCACGGTTAAATGCCGAATTGGAACTTAGTTGCGCAATTATAGTTTAGAAATAAAAAAGCTTCATGCATTTCTGAACACAGCCATAATTAAATTTTGAAATTTTCGAAACTTTGAAAGGCGTTTTTGTGTTAGGATCGCAGGTCCTTGAAATTTCGGAGCAGATAGAGCGACTGTGTTTGGCAAATAAGTATTATAAGGGTGTTACATATACATACATAGTAGGAGAATTCTATTGACCAGTTAATTCATCCCTCTGGGATACCGTGACCGTCCTGAAATCCACGGAAAGTTCAGTGTTCGTATTTCGACGAAAATGGCGATCGGCAATGGATATACCCCGCTGAATACCATTAATAGGACGAACATTTTATAGAACACTTTCTACAATTTGCTTTACTTCTCAACACTTCTTCATTTAACTGTATGTAAGTTAATTATGTTGAAGTGGCTGCCGGTGGGCTCACCAGCACACTTAGGCTCACCATAGGGCCCGCTCAGGTACCACTAGGGATCTCGCGTGTGGAGTTGGCAAATTTGAGCAATCACCGCATCTTTAAGCCCGCTAAATCGCTAGGATCTCCAATTGTTCCAGCACCTATGAGCCTTAGTCTAATCCTTTCCAGTGCAGGAACTTCGCAAAGTAGGTGCCTTACTCTTACTGATTCAGGCTCCTAATCGTCTCTGTGGTTAAACGGCACCCCAAGTCTTTCCGCGTGCCTATCTAGAGTGATTTAATCGGTCATAAGTCCTGTACCGAAAGAGATCTATCGCCTGCTCAGCATGAGGTGCTGTCTCGATCTCTTCTCATCCCATTCCGGTCACCTAAGCTTTGCCATTTCGCATGTTTGCAGTTGTCTCCGCCTTTCGCCTGCTTCGAAGAAGAAGAATACCTGAATATTGAACTTGCAGGTAGCGAGCCACATGCCCTGCCTCTTATATGACGGTTAAAGTGCAAGGGAAGTGCTCTTCCTTGTAAGCTCATCCGTCATTTCATTACCTGGTATACTTCTGTGTCCCGGTAGCCATAGCAGGTGAACTGCTCTGCCATCACGTTAAGTGATCTGCGGCAACTCACTACAGCTCCCGAGTTGTATGTGACAGAATCCAGAGCTTTTAAACCCACTCGGCTGTCTGTGAAACTGGAGATATTATTGCATCCTATTACTTCTGTCCATAAGCATACGGCAGCTCCCTGTATGCCCGAGTATGTACAGTAATCAAAACCACAATAGAATAAATAAGAATTTAAGTTTCTTCAGCTTACCGTAAGTTGACAATAACTAATGCAAAACCGTGTTACGAAGGATTATAAAAACTAGTGCCTCGGAGCAAAGGTTTTCTGTTCATCGCTCCGCTGTTAACTTCTGCAATTTTACTTCGCTCCGAGCTTTTTTTAACCGACTTCAAAAAAAGGAGGAGGTTATCAATTCGTCGAAATATTTTTTTTATGTATGTTACCATAAATTTTGAACAACTTGAACCGATTTCGATAATTCTTTTTTTATCGGAAAGGTGGTGTACCTCAAGGTGGATCATGAAGAAATCAAGAAAGACTTAGATAGACAACTACATACATTGGAGTTATGAGTAGTATGTATTGCCTCCCAGAACTATAAAGAAAAGTTTCTAGGACCCCTTATTTCAAAATTTTTGAAGCCATATTCTCCAATTGAACTTCTCTTAAAAGGGGAACATTAAAATTAACTAAGAATGACGCAGTTATAGCTTAATTTCGCTTAAGACAAGCACCAACACGTTCCCTTGCTTTGGAAACACATATTCCCGTATACTTTCGAATGGTAAGACTATAAGTAGATTTTCTGATAAAGCTTTTAATGGGAAGGTGTTCTTAAAAGAGCTTTGCCTGAAAGCATTTGGATGCACATATTTCTGAGCATATTAAACATCCAGATCTTACTGTTGAACTCCACAAGATAGCTACATAGGTTGCGGGAATTAGAAATCTCAATCTACTCTGGCTTCAAAATAAAAGACAAGTTTAGGAATACGACCTTTATCCGAGACTGGGAAGCTAATTGCCATCTCACAACATATCGATGGTCCTCTCCAATAACGGTACCGCTCAAAACTAATAAAAAAATCCAAAGAGAAATCATTATTTTGCGATTTACATTTTATTTGATCTGAGCATTTTTTTTTAACCAAACTAGCCAAGCGTGTAAGTCAAATGCTAAAAGGACTCCTATTAACGTTGTTTTTAGGTTTATTACAATGTGTGTTGGTGTTGGTTGATTTTTCCGACAGGGTGGTAAGATAATTTATTTTGGAACGAATTTTCGTCATCCCTTGTGAAGCTTGGTTTGCAGACAAACCGGTTTCGGCGTTGTGCCATTTTCAGTGTCATTTTTCGTTTATTTTATTATAATATCTAATCTCTTCTGTGTGGCGGCATTATGCGTTCATACATCCAAATATATGTGAAATGGCATTTATGATGAGGAATAACAGTAAAACTCGCTATGCATAAACGAAAATGTCTCTTTAAAATAATTAAAAAGCTTTAAAAAAGACACGAAAATGACAACGAAGTGCGCTCAAGTGACACCAAGTCAGTCACCAGCAACAACACCCCAATAAACCTTGCAAATGCATGCGTTTGAAGAAAAGAAAATAAAATGGTGACAAAACAGCAAAAGCATTGCAACAGCGACAACAGCAATCATTTAAACATTTACTGCGTGCAACATTGCGTGGCAAAAGTAATTTTCTTCAGTAATTGAAGCCCGCGCAACCAAGTAACCATAAGAAATTCAGTCTTGCATGTGGAGCGATTGCGGTTAGATCGTGAAATTTTTGGCTTTCATATACTAGGCTAGCAGCTGGAGGACTGTAGAAGAAAATTTAAAAATGCGCTGTACAAAAATTGGTTGCTTGCAAATCCTTTGCCTTGCACTCCTTGTCCGTGCAAGCGAGCACAACGAACCGACGAAGCAGCTTAACAAACGCGGCGTTGCAGAAAATCTTGGCCAGGGTTTAAAGTTCGCAGGTCAAATGTTTGGTAAATCTATTTGGTAATAAAAGTAAGCAATTTTCTTAAAAAAAAAAAATTCTACACGTAGGCATCAACACAGCCGCCGATGTGGCAAATCTAGTGGCGATGGCATTTGGCAATAAAAAGCCAGACTTGATGTCACTATTTCAGCAGAAGCAAACCAACGCTGCTGAGGCTGATAGTGAATCGGATGCATCGCAACAGGACACAGGCTCGCAGGAGCAGCAGCCATCGAATGTAAAGCACAGGCATCGTTACAAACAACAACAGCAGCAGCAGCAGCAGCAACAACAACAAGAGACGGATGAGAGTGACGAGCAGTCAAGAGAACCGCTCAGTAATTCAGAATTCAGCACCAGTCGATTCGTTACAGGCGTATTGCGCATGATTGGCTTCGACGCTACCAAATTGGGTGCACTGGCAATAAATGCATTAATTATGATTGCGCAGGCGGTAAGTAGCCATCGCTCCCTTAAATTATACTTCACCATACATACTGCCTTCTATTCGTTCTTAATGAGCTTAGATTGGTAATGCATTTACGGCGCCAACACATACCAGCGCTGGCTACACACCATCCCCGACGACACCGTACGATGACGAGGACGAAGGCGTACGTCCAGAAGCCCAACGGAATGGGGAGCAGGATGGACATCAACCGCGTGCCTTACGTGAGGGTACACCAATCGATTGGTATCTAGAGAATCCGAATGAGGGTATGCGTCGCACCTTGAACGATGCATTGGATACGCAACTAACAGAGCGCATCACTGAAATGATTGAGAATGTGGAGCAGCAAGAGGGTCGACAGGCTGGTTGCATTAAGTTGTTGATGTGTAAGAGTTCGCCAATTATTTGGGGCATGCAACGTTCGGTGAGTGAACGCGTAACGGGCAAGGCGACGACGAACAACACAGTGGAAGATAATGCGGAGGGGAAGAAGAAGAAGGCGAAACCGAAAAAACTATTTTCCACTGATGTGTTTTTTTGCGCATTTTCCCACACTTGAGGAGTTTCGTGAGCATGGCGCTATCTGTGAGGAACGCTTCGGCAAACAATGCAATGTCGACGAGAATGATGATACAAAAGCTGCGGAGACAAAACAAAAGAACCCAAAGTAGTAATGAGTGTGTAGTACTCGAAAGTTTCAGAAAAATTAAAGCTTGTCTGTAGAGTAAAAGAGCCGACGCGAAAAAGTGGTATTCTGCAATGTAAATACCAAGAAACTCAACAGAAAATAAATAAAATTGCTTATTTATGTGATTTTTCCATAGAACTTTTGTGTCGCAAATTTAGACGATTTCTGGTTATTTATGAAGACATTCTGTAGAT